GTATATCCTTACTGCACGATGTAACAATTTGATTTTGTTAAGAAGCAATACTAACTTCTGAGTTTTTAAACTTATTTTTCCCTTAATTAAATATTTACGTATTTCATTTAACAAAGAAGTCTCTGTCATCAATATTGTATTTTTACAATATTAATATTTTGCAGTTTTGAAAATATACAGCTCTTCTCGAAAACGGGACTAGCACGATTTTCTTTACCGCTTTCTGCTAGATATAAGAAGAAATGAAAGAAAGGATTAAGAAACATTTTTGAGAAAATAATGTGCCTACGTTTGAGGCAAAAACTGCACATATCTTTGAAAAACTATTTAAGACCTTTTTCAATAACTGTTTTTGATACACATTTTTCATTAAAGAAACAAAATTTCTAGTTTCAAAATTCTAGAGGTAAGCAGATGCCAAAAAATTGAACTTTTGTGATTTTTGAAAATTCAGAGAGTTCTATGAAAATGACCTACGTCATTTCCTTAAGCGTCTTTTTTTATCAGAAGAAAAACTTTCAAGAAACAATTTTGAGCCATTTTGGAGAACATTTTGAAAATGTTGAAGCTTCATATGAAGTACCCTCAAACATCAAAATACCCCTTTTTAAATTCGATCTGTCAGATCGATCGGGGAACATCAATTTCGTAATATTGATTACTGTAGTTGACAGCCAGACTTCAGACGTTTTGCCGCCAATCGATTTTTTGGTATCAATGGCTCGGCAAACATAGATTCTGTCTACATAACGTGTCATTTGTACATTGTATATCACCAAGATTTATATTCTTTTTCGTTACCATAACCTATCCGTAAGAGTAAGAGTAAGAGTAAAAATCACCGGCTTTCCCTGCAGCATTAATTTCTCTTTACTTTGTAAACAGTAGGCGAGAAAGTGAAAGAAAGTCTTACGAAACGCCGACAATATCACCATCAGAAGCCACTCGTGGATTTATTTATAAATGCAGAATTACCGAGGATGAAACAATTTATTTAGAAAATTCATATCGTAGAATTTTAGAAATGGGCGAGTGACGGAATGGATCATCATAATTTTTATAAAATGAATTATATCCAATTGCCTGTGCAATTTTGCATAATTATATAATCACGTTGTATATTAACGTCATATCATTTTTGATCTCTAATTAAAAAAGGACGATTCAAACTGGTCATTCTCCCGTCCAAACTCCCCATTTCTAGAACTGAATGTGTTGTATTATCGACATTAATGAGAGGCCTAGTTTGATTTGATTAAAACACAAATCCAATATGAACATTTTTTCCCGAATATTGCAGTTTATTGAGTGCCTACAGAACCACGCTTTTCCACCGCTTTTTATACATCGTTATTTCGTTAATCCGATTTCCGGTGCATCTGCAGTAATTCCGCTATCTGATCCTTCAACTTCATTTACTCCGGGACGGGTGTCGCTCGACAGCGCATCTGTTAACTTTTTACAACGGCGCTGTACAACGATGGCAAGGGCATCAACACGCCGTGATATTTTATTGACACAAAACGTCGATGTAGCTCGGACGCTGAGCGTAGCGGAGCGTGGGGGGACGTTCCCACGCACAGACACCTGCGCGCCCGATCTGGCGATCGCCTCGCAGGCTGATTTAAAGGGGTCTTAAAGGGAATTGTGCGACACGCCCATAAACCTGGCGAAGTTGAAGGGGGGTTTAAGGAACCCCCGTGGTAGAGGTTACGGTCATTTGTTGCTTTGGTTGTTGCAGTCGGATCTTGTCCCTGGAAATATGGTGCTGCACGAATTTTTTGTATATGCGGACGTGCCAAAATTAATATTTCGGGGCGTTTCTTGGGTCAATAGTCCTGTAACTGTAGTATATGTTGCAAACGGAAATGACGATGTTCCTCCTTCCCTTTGATGAGAGATGCGGTGCTCTCTTACTCGCCTACTTTTCGGCGTTTTCCTTCTCCAAAGAGATTTGCCCTAACCAATAGAAACTCTGAGAAGTGAGCGGCTCGCGGAACGGCCACAAGCCTTCTACGAGTCCGGGAATTCGCCCGCGTGCTCATCTTCTGTCGGGGAGGGAATGGACGCCACTCAGTGGTAGAAGCTTCGGTATGTTATTGGGAGACGTTTGAATGCTTACAGTTATCAGCTCCGGAGTGTATAACACTGGCGTTTACCGGAAATTAGAGAGTTAAATGGCAGCAGCAACCAGTTGGACAGGTTTCTTCTGAGATCTCACCTGGAGTCAATTATTGATTGATTGACTGTTTGTGAATTCGGGTGTGTCAACTATTAAGGTGATTAGTCCGTAAGTGTAGTGCATGTGTTTGCTCGGTATGGGGGCGGTAGTCTTCCCCGCTGAATGATTTCCCTAACCAGGTATCCCCTACCAGCGGGGCACCTCTCGAGCCGACAAGCTCTAAGCTCTCAACCGGTCTCCGGGCGTGTGTGGTAATGTAATACATGTAAGTGTAAGAGTTTCTAAGGAATGAGGATAGGACAAAGAAGAGGAAGGTAAGATTGCGCGCGGTCAATGGCCCGTTTGTTAGGGTTCTGCTGCGACATTCGCCTAGTGTTGATCGGAAAAAACACGAAAAACTACCGATCAGAGCAGCCCGCAGCTAGAATTCTAATTCGGATGGAGGCGATCATCCAATGCGTCACTTCGCTACTTGCAGTGCGCCACTTCGCATCATTCAACGCAGCACTTCGCATCATCCAATGCGTCATCTCGTGACATTCAACGCGCCACGTTTGGCGGACGCCCCACGCGTTGGTCCCCGCTGACGGAGAGGGTGGCGGTGAGAAGGGGAGAGGCCTCCATCTCTCCGCGAGTGAGATATTCGATGCGAAGGCCCTGTGGCGCGGGAGGGCTGTAGGACGCGGAGAATGTCCTCCTTTGCCAGCACAACTTATGCGCTGCCCCTCGCGTCTCCTGCTGATGGAAGCCCTGCTGGGACTCGCTTATCTAGTCCGTCCTCTTTGTCCTCACATGATACCCCGCCGGGAGGCATCTCCTGCCGAACCACTGTTTACGTTTGCATCTTGATATTTTCAGGCCTCATGCTTTGTATTTCGTGTGAAGATTTTTTTTTTCGTTTAGACTGCAGATTGTTGTTGATAGCGTTTTGTATTCTCGGCTGTTTTTTTTCTTATTATATTAATGCATCTTCATTGATTATCAGTCCGTTCTGATTCAAGTTTTCTTTTCATTAATAAAAATTATTTACTTGTTTCAGACATTTTATTTCTCCAGTCGTAGTGATTCTGTGTTTTAATTTCGACCTCGTAAACTTGTCCTGTTGAGTTACATTTGGAATCGCAATTCCCCGGAGTCTCTCCCCATTTCTAATTCTTTTTCGAAAACTCACATCAAGTATTATAATTCTTCTATGAGAGAATGTTCTCTTACCTCTTTCTTTACTATAATGAATTCTAGAATTAATTTGATGTAGCAAGGCTCAAGGCAGATTCCATATACTCTGTCTTATGTCAAACTCTAATAGATTTCGTGATCAAATACGTAACATAACTAAATGCTGTTTACAAATGCGAGAATAACTTATTCTACTAGATTAAAACACTGACAGCTGAGGAGATAAAGCACAACTGTCTATACAAATTGCGGAATAATATATACTTCATAAGTAAAATGTGTTGTTCATGATGTTTAATTTCACGAAAATTCCTGCCCTACATTCACCTACACCGACTTCGCAGAGACTGTGATCAACAGATCCTAGGTTTAGTGCAGAGTTTTCGACACGATCTACATACATAGGTGGAATTTAGCTTCTGTCTGAAGGAGATTTTCAGCGGTCAATTGCTTTTATCGGTAGTTTTCCTCCGATCAACATGAGGCAAATTCCGTAACAGTTCCTCCAGGAACCGTTCACGAACTGCACGTGATCATTTTCTTGCTCTTCCTTATCCTAACCTCTTCCCTTACACGAATTTACTCTTACATGCACTGCAATATAGCACACGCTGGGAGGACAGTCGGCAACTATGAGGTAATACCGGCCGGGTCGATGTCCTGCAGGGGAGATACATTCAACTGACACGTCGTAACTTTGAAAGATCTAGATCCTAGTCCTGATAGTGCCGGACTTTCGTAACGGGCTTAGTTTTTGGGCAATAACTGACCTCTGCCAGGATGATAATACTAGAAGCTGTACCCTACACAGTGAGTCCCATCCAGTTCCCATTTCTTTCTTTCTTTCCTGAGAACTGACTGATCCCCTATCATCATTAAGGCTGTTCACTGAAATACACCTTGTTGGAAACGCGCAATGCAACGCGTAGCCGCCAAGAACAGTAATAACATACAGAAAAAACAGTAATAATAATCCTTGAGTATCCGTTCCTTCCTCACCCGATCTTTTCTTTTCGTTTCTCTGTCTCATCGGATGGGTCCGCCGCGTTTGTCCTTTCCCCTGATTTCGGGAAAGGGCGCTGGGGCGCTGATGCGCCTCGTGGCCGGGCATGCCGAGGCGGCGCGACGCTGAGCGAGGTGGCAGGGCGGGGAGGGGGGGGTGAAGGGGAGGGGAGGAGGGGTAATGTCGCCACTAGAATTCGGCGCAGCTGAGCCGGCCGCCGGAGCCGCCCGCGTAATGGAAAACGCCCCACGCGCCGGGATTCCCGCCAACCTCCCCCTCCCTTCCTTCCTCCGGCACCTCTGCTGCGGCTTCTTATTCCGCCCACGGGCCGGAGGTGGAGGCGGGACACGGGGATGGGAGGGAGAGTAAAGAGAAGGAATGGGCCGAGGAGGGGAGGCGAACGAGCACGAAGTAAGGGGAAGGGAGGAAGTGAAAGGAGGAGGAAGGAAAGGGGCGAATGTCGAAATAAAGGAATGAATAGAATGAATCTCTTTGATGGACAAGTAGGCGACAGACCATTGGGATGGAGACTAGCTGAGGCAGTGGAAGAAGAGACGGTGTGTGAGAAGATAAGGCAAAGGCGAGCACGACAATGCGTCAGGAAACGACAAGGAGGACGATTAGGACGTGTGAGAACGCATGGTAGACGACAACGACAATTCAATGGACGTAGAGGTCTTCAACAAGGAGCGAGGAGACCCAGAGGACGACAACGAGTTTAGAGACCTAGAGGACGATGACGAGTGAGGAGACATAGAAGACCACGACGAGGAGATGGACAAGTGAGATGAGGAGGACGAGGTTAAGGAAGAAGGCGACGACGACGACGGTGATGAAGAAGAAGACGACGTGCGAGGAACGACGGCAACATGTGAAAAGTCGAGGACGACGAGATGTGGGGAGACGCGTGAATGTTATTGTGCGACCCTTTGCTGTGGCTGGTAATCATGTGAAGAAAGGTACGGAATCCACGGAAGGTAAAATACGGGAACCGCGGGTGCGTGTGTGTTTTGCGGGGAGATCGAACCAGCCGCGCTGGGTGAATTGAGGCGTCAGCTCGGCGAGCCTGAATGCCAAATGCGCGCTGAGGGATGGGCGAAGGACGTCTTCGGCGCAAGACACCGGCGCAGCAGGGCTGCCAACGCTCCCTCCGTCACCTCATCTGCGCCTGCGAGCGACTGCGCGAGAGAGAACGCGAGGATGGCCTGGGCCACACGGGCAGATGTATCGACGGGAGCTGCATATTGGGAATTCAGTTTGGGGGTACGAACCGTGGTATACAAGGCAACATATCATGTAGAAAATACCGCTGCATTGTTAATGTAAGCTCTTTATTTGATATTTATCGGACTGATCAGATAGCAGGCCTATTCATATTGATGATTAACTGCGCATTATGAACTTGGTGGCGAGAGTGTTGTTTGCATGTTTTCATTGCGGCCTTTCAATGGAGAACAATGGCCAATCGCACGTAAGTTATTTTAAGGCTTCTTTTTAAGTGTGTAATACTGCAATGTTGATTGTAAATAGGAAGCTAATCAAATGCAAGTGAAAATTACTAGCTTTGTGTTTTGTGAAAATGATTACGCAAGCACAAATATTTAACAACTGTCTGTCGAATCAACGCATGTGCAACATCAATGCAAATTTTTCTGTTTTCGAAAGTTGGCTTTATGAGAGTAGTAGGCTGTTACAGTTGAGCAGGACTAGAGAAAATAATAATATATTGTGGGGCAATTAGGCCAATAATGCCAATGTCACCTTAGGGTTGCCTCTCCTAATACACACACTCACACACTTCAATATCTCTTCTTACTCTCACACACAATTGCATGTACTACACTGCCCCACATGTCGGGAGACCAGAGAGGAGCTTAGATATTCTCCTGGCTGGTCGGTGCCGCGCTGAGGAGAAATTCTTGGAGAACCGGCGTGTTAGTTGGCACCGAATGTCACCTTCTAGCGTCGCAGGAACACCGCCACCTCCCGAGATAAAGTATTTACTACACAAATGGTATAAATGGTTGGGTAAATTACAATCCAACATTGTTTGTTTTAAAATGGATTTAGGGGTGCCACAAAACCTCATAAATACCACATTTCCGCCTTTTTTGGGAAATAACGAGTAAATTTTATGTAATGGTATTTTTATTAACAGATTTTGGCTGAGGTGCTGTCCATGTTATCCCGCAACATTGTAATGTTTATCATACATTGCTTATTTGACTCAAACAGTACGGTACGTTAGCCAAATTATCAAAAACTGGCATTAGAAGATAAAATACGCAAAAAAGCCGAAATGAAAATCCCTTGAAACAACTCTAGAAGGGCAATTGTTTGACACGTGATTCGTATTTTTAAAAGTCATAAAATAGTAATGATAGTAAAAACAAATTTTATCAATCCTCTGAGATGTAATTATCATTACAAACCTAGATGACAATAGTATGTAACGGAACTAGAAATACAATATTCGTATTCTTTTGGTTGATTTTCAACTATTTACTGTACATATTACATTGTCATTTTTATCTTTAAGTAATACTCTTATTTCCCTTATATGGTCGAAAACTATACCCTTACGAAAAATTGACTAATCTTCTTCTTTTCAGCAATTTTCTTTCACCTGCATTCGCTTTCAAATTTCTCAGTTTTTGGTCATCCATTCCATTACCACCCTCTCCGTCGTGCTCTCTCTCTCTCTCTCTCTCTCTCTCTCTCTCTTCTCTCTCTCTCTCTCTCTCTGACTCTCCCTCCTTCTCTGTCTTCTATATTTTCTCTACTGACGTGTTCAATTCTTCTATCGCTTTCATCGCATTTCTCTCATTTTCTCCTTCACTCCAACACTCCGATTCCGCCATTCCTGGCCTTGACATTGTCGCTTCCTCTAATACTTTCTCTCGCCTCTGCATTCTCCCTGACTTATTTCGCTGTATGTCGGACGATTTCTCCAGTGTCCCACTGTCCTCGACAACTCGCCACCAGACCGGTCGCTCCATATGCACAAGTCACGCCTCACAGATGTGTACGTTACACAACCATGCGGGCTTTTATGTGGAAACTGCAACGTGTCTCCCGCATGTCTCCGCAGTGGCTGCACGACAGCTCAACAAATTCAGCGCTGAAAATCCCCCATGGTGAACTGAAAAAAATCCTCTGGTAGCTCCACACAAAAATATGGACCTTTTAACGACAATTGAAGCTAGTTGAGTGAATAAAATAATAGATGCCTGAGACGTTTTAAGACCTCAATACACGCCGTTTATGAGTATATTCGTCAGATAATAACAGATATCTGCTGATAAAGGAAAAGTGTTGGCAGCGCATGACAACAGTGATTATGCATATTAAATTAAATGTTCAAATTCTGCTACTAACTGAAATGTGAATTACGTAAGTGATTCTATAAAGTTCTACCAGGGATAATAAATAAAAGGCCATTTAACCTTTCGAAATCAACGTTGTTTTCCAGTTATTTTCAGTTTTCATTTTCAAATTTCGTCTGGCTCATTATAAATAATGATCAATCTCCGTTATATATTTCAGAGCAATATATATCACGAACTCCATTTTGATTAACCATTTTAACTTGTGCATTTGAGTTTTCGTCCTTCCGCTCTTGAAACGAATTTCGTAGAGTGATTAGAAACCAATATTACCAATGCAAAAATTGTCGAAATTGATTTAATTTCCCATTTTGTACCATTTCCAGGAAACGATTATTTGCGGACTGCATCCACTTTTGCTCGAACAACCGGCTGAGCAGCTTCGTGGCTTCTAGCTGATTATGCGTGCGGTGTTACTGCGAGAGCACGCTATCGCTCTCGGAATCGTCGGCCGCTCCAGCGGCCTAGCGTGAGATCAGATGAATGGGTGGTCAACAGTGTGTCGGCGTAGAACAAACTTCGGAATAATGGAATATGTATTCATGTTAGGTAATATTTGTGGCCTGAAGTACCAAAAATGCTGCTGAACATAATTGTTTTTTCAAATGTAGCATATCCACTGCTCTAGAATTACAAATAGAGTACTGTGATGTAACATTTCAATAAATTAAATATTTTAACGTATTCTTCACGAGTACAGTAATAACATAGATTACAGTACGTAAGGTCACTATTTACCAAGCTTATCGAGATAATTACTCTCCCATAACGCAGCACGTGAATAGCAAATATTTAATGGAGCCTTGTTGCCTTGGAGCCTCGCTGGTGCCTGACGTCAGCTACTTCGTCAGCAGCAGCGCACCGAGTTGAGAGAATCTAGTAGGTACGAGACTTGGTGATATAGCAAAAATATTTTTAATTTTTCACTTAAAATCGTACAACAATCAACGTCTCTGTAAAAGCGTATTCATAGCTTTGAATCTCTTTAAGCAAAATCTTCTGGACGTTTCAGAAGAAGTCAAGAAACTACTTTGTTTGGGTTTTATATTTTCCGCTTGAAATGATACATCTGTATATAGGCGATTCATAATTGGACTTAAGAGTTTTGTTATGAGTATGCTATTTTGGTACAAAGAAATTTGCAATTCGTCGTGGATTCAAATTATCAAAGGAAGACTGTATTCGCAATTCAAACTCAGAGGCGTATCAAACACTCTCTTTTTATAGGGTTACACATTCATACACTTAAATTATATGGATTCGCAATAATGTATGTAGCTATTAAGACTCCGAAGATGCACTATTACGGGCGCAAATATGGACCAGTGATTGTCCAGCCCTTCCCCGTCTTCCAGTCCTCATTTCTCAGGCCCACCATGTTTCGCTTCCTTCTCCCTCACCCGTTGCTCTTTGTCACTCTCCTTCACACTTTCGTCACTTACCCTGTACCCCTTCAACACCACCTTTATGCCCTAGCTTCCTTTCGCTCTCATTATACCTCTCTTCCACTACACACGATTTCCTGGATTCACAATTTTCACATGTCTCCATTTAGATGCCTGTCCTGTGATCACTGTCCACTGTCTCCTGATTCCCGCGCCGTGTTCTTAGCCACTTACCGAGCTTCTCATCTCCCGTGCTTTGTACGTCGCAAACGTCAAACATTTTTGGACGTTGAATACTTTTACGTCTTTTCCGATTCACCTTCTCATCTCTCCACTGCTCACCATTCCCCTTAACGGGATCTCACGCCTTTTTGATCTTACCCATTCATCCCTCCCAAACACCCCTCCACCACCTCAAACACCCACACATTATCTCAACTAGTCGTCTACAGGCACAACATCATCAATTTTTTCTGCCTTCTTCCGCACAACTTTATTTAACCACCGACTCACTTTTCCAGATATTTACCTTCCCGTCTAACCATTCCTCTTTCCACCCATATATCCACTTATCTTCCGATTCAATCTAGCACCCACTCATTCCCACACTTACCTAGGACATTGACTTTCACTCGTTCAGTCACCGACCCACCTCCTCCCCATCCACCGCACCCATTGCCTCACTTACCCCGCAAGCTCTCCTTCGGCGCTCCTCTCATCCGTTGGACGCGCGAGCGTGCGCGAGTGATTATGCGTGCGTATGTGGCACGCACCCGAGGGCGGCGTCCGCGAATTCAGCCCGCGCCATTGCGTCAAGCCCATTGTCCGCGCACGCCCCGCCCCGCGCGCCTGCTGGCCGCTTTGATCGGGATAAACACGGGCGCAATTGCCTTACTCGCGAGCAGCGCGCGGCGGATTCGGGCAACTCGCGCACGCCGGCCTCGTCCACTCGGCTGTTTGGCGCCGAGACGTCGCGCCGGGGCGCTGCGTTGCTAGGAGTGCGGTGCGCGTGTTGCACACGCCCCGCGCGCGCCCCGTCGCGGCTCATTTGTTTCTGTGCGACGCTCGCTCGCTGGCTTGCGGGGCGAACTCGAAACGAGGTCGCAGTTGAGATTGGTTGGTTGTTAGGGATTCCGGGCGCGACAACCACTCAGGATATTAATCCCGTTAATGTAGTGCATGTTTTCCTCTGGAGTTGGCCGTGATCTTTCTCAGCTGGATGGCGAGATTCGGCGCCGACCTACCGGTTAGCGGATTTTCCCTCAACAAGGCATCTCCCAACAGCGGGTCACTGCCTCAGCCGGGATAAGCTCTAACCTCCCGACCGGTCTCTCGGCATGGGTGGTAGGGCAGTGCATGCTAGTGTGGGCGTAAGTAAGTGATAAGGATAGGACAATGAAGAGGAAGGTAAGATCGCGCGCAGTCAGTGACCCGTTTCTTAGGGTTCTCAGGCATTTGTCTGGTATTGAGCGAAAAAAAACCGGCCATCTACCGATCAGAGCAGCAGCCCGCTCTCCAGCCAGCGACTGAATTCGACCTAGCTCACAAGCTTGGGTCGAAAATCCTACTACCGACGGGAGTGGTAGCCTAGGACCTTCCGGTCAGACGGACTGCATTGTCATCAGTCGATGCCCTGAGCCATCTCTCCAGGTGCATTCAGTCGACTGTTCGGTGCCGAGACCTGGAGGTGGGCCAAGAAGGCTGATGCTCGCGCCCCGACCTAGCTCATTTGTTAATGTGCAACGCCCTCTGGCCTGCGGGGCGAACCACGGAACGGGTTTGCAATTAAGTCAAATACTATGTAGATAATACAGGACACGTTAAACCTTTCTCATACTGGTCATGGATGACAAATGCTCACTAGCGGACCTTGTGACGTGACCTGAAAAATCGCAGACTAATTCTAATTTCAATAATTGCGAATCACTCTACTTACGAGTATGTTTACTTAAGTTTCGCAAACTAAAAACCTTTCTAACTTATACACTTCGTACTTGATATCACAATGGTTATGACGAGTCGGGCCACTAGGGTCACTATTTGCAAGTGTATCCCGTTATATCGCTGAGTGTCCTATATGTCTCTATAGTATTTGAATGATCATTCGTCAATTTAGAATTCTAAAAACGTATAAAGAGACCCCCGCGCTGTTGAAAATGTACTATTATTTACGAAGAATATTTCAATAGTGAAATTAAAATCAATGGTGTTTAACTCCACATGTAAAATGCCCCAATCAGGAAGATGTATCTCACGATATTAATGGCTCTTTCTAGCCGACGTTTTTTACCGGTCTTCCCCAAATACCAATAAAAATCTGCTTCTCTTTTACCTTAGGAGAGGGTATGCATCGATTGCTGTGACGATATGCAATAAACCGCGTATGTTCTGTAACATAACCTCTTTGATTTGACATGCTTTTTGTTATATTCAATATTAGGCGCATTTTGGAACTCTGTTGGGCGTAATTTAAGGGGATTCATAAACGGAGTCGGATATTTATCGACAACTTCCAGAGCACTCGTGCTTGGATAAGTTCGTGTAGAAAGTGATAAGTTCGTGTAGAAGAAGTGAACCCTTTGTCAAAATAATATTTACTATTATATGCGTTGTTTGACCTGAAGTAAGAGAACATTAAAATTATCTATACTGAAAAGATGTTTGTATCGAAGTAATAGCCATACAGATCGTCAAACTAGAAAACAATATTTCTTATCAGATAACATAGCGTTCCTAATTTTGTTCTAGGGTCTCTATGAGAACATCGATTTATTTACGAAGAGCACGTTAATGGATAACAGGTAAATTCTGTAGCCTATTTGCAGTTGTAGTTGTTATACGTGAGCGAATATTTTCTCATCAAATCTTACCAAAAAGGTCGTTTCTACCAAAATTCATAACATTCAGTGCCCGGCAAGCGAAGAACTTGGAAGTATATTATCTCTGCTCCGCTTACCACTTCAGTGTTTGAAAGCGCGAATATTTAACGTCAAGCAGTCCTTCAAATTCTTTTTTCTTCTGTCTTTATAGCAGGCAAGAAGTCATGAACTCGAGCTGCGGAATCTTACGTGTACATTTGTAGGATATATCTTGTAAGTGAATCCACCTGTAATCCACCCACCTCGATGACGGCAGCAGGAATCGTCATAAGGATCCTTTAGCTTACGTCACGGAAAGTAGGCTAACGTCCGGCGCCTCGGGAAAGCTGGTGGTTCGTCTCGTGCCCTCTTGCTCTTATTGCCGAAACTCTCCTTGGTTATGATGCCGCCAGATGCACCAGGCGACTTTGAAGTTTTGTATAAATGAATATTGATATATTTTCATAAAGATATGTAGACATGGTTGAGCAAGTAATGTTTTAATTGACTGCTTTCCAGGCTTTAATGTAGGTCGTATTTTATATCTCTAATATCTAAAATAGTTTGTTGATATTTCCAAATTTGAAACATACTGTTTCAAAATATCCAAAAATGTCTTGCTCTTCAATTGATTGTAGTCAGCTGTATCAGGTAGAATTCCTGAAATACGCCAGATTGACAGGCTATGCACGGCATGTAGTTCACATTCAGTGAAGACATGTGCAACAGTTTCGTCTGACTTTCCACGGGGCACGAGGGGAGGTCTGTTTGGCCTCTTCTGAACAGGTACTCGGAAAAGAATTCGTGGCCAGTTAGAAACTGTATTGTTTCTCTTGATGGTTTGAACCATTTACCCAGTACAGAGAATAAAACAATTGCAATATCTTGTGAAGTACGGAAGCACCGTCTAGCACGCTGATATGGAATCCCCCAGGGATCGTGTTCAAGAGTTTATTTTACCACATTTTCCCAGGCTGCTTCTTTGCTCTTTATAATGAATTGATGGTAATTATTTCTTATTATATTGTAGTGCCTTTGATCGTTACAAGTGTGTAAATTTCGTTTCTTTCGCAATTGTAATGTTTTCTTTGCGTCAGTACGCATTGTCTGTCGCGGATGAGGTCTGTTGTCCACCAGGGAGTACGTTTATTCTTCCTTGTTTGTTGGGTATTGTTTCGTCTGCTGCAATTTGTATGATATGTCATTTCCTTGACTTTGGTATCTGGTACTTGGTCGGATATTGATGGTGATGGTAGTACAGACGGACGTTTT